CCTAAATCCTTCAGATATTGTCAGTATATAAATTTCTCCTGGTTCTATTCACCTCACTCCTCATTAGTTCATACAAGTCCTCCCTGGTTTCTCTGAAACAATCTCCATCATTTCTTACAGCACAATAGCACCCCACCACAATCCATGCCTCATACTTCTTCAGCCATTCCTCAGTTGGTGGGCACCCCTAAGTTTCCAGTTCTTGCCACTATGAAAAGGGATACTGGAAATGTTTTTGCTTATTTTAAGTAACGTTTGTTTTGCTTAAGGTTCATCCCTCCCTTAATTTTCACCCACCCCATTCTTCCCATTCTCATGTATTTAGAGGGTTGTCTGAAGCTCAGAGAGATTGTGAGCTGTCAATGGTCACATAGCTAGAAAGTGTCAGAAATGGGATGGAAATTCAGATCTTCCTAATTCCTAGTCCATCACTCCATCCACTATGCCACAAAGACACACACACACACACACACACACACACACACACACATGTATGGATCTGATTTCAAGCATATAACACCTTGAGTAACACAATGATCTTGCTGCTAGTATACCTTTTAGGCAGAAAATAAAAGCAAAAGTCCTTTGAATCATGATTATGTTTCTGAGAAATTTGATGTTGTTTCTTTATGTGTTTGCTTATCTGCGTCATTAGCATATCCGCTTACAGTAATGGTGGTGGTACATTCTTCAACTTGAAAAGGCTACAAGCCAAGATTAAAGTGGAGGGAGTGTTGGTGCATGATTATCTTTTTGCAGATGATTGTGCACTCGATGCAGCCTCTGAAGTTGAGATGCAACAAAGTATGGATCGATTTTCTCTGTTGCTTGTGCTAATTTTGGCCTAACAATTAACACCAAGAAAACACAGGTGCTCCCGTCAGCCTCCACCACACTATCCATACGTGGAACCGTCGGTTACAGCAAATGGAGACGTTTTGAATGCTGTGGATAAGTTCACTTACCGTGGTAGTGTACTTTCCAGGGATGCACACATTGATAATGAGGTTGACACATGCATTGCCAGAGCTAGCTCAGTGTTTGGAAGGCTCTGAAGGAAAATGTAGGAGAGAAGAGGTATTAGACTGACTACCAAACTGAAGGTCTACAGAGCCATTGTGCTGACCTTATTGTTGTATGCCTGTGAAACCTGGACAGTCTGCCAGCTCCTTGCCAGGAAACTGAATCGCTTCCATTTGAATTATCTTGGGAAGATTCTGAAGATCACCTGGCAGGATAAGATACCAGACACTGAGGTTCTTTCTTGAACTAAACTGCCAAGTATTCAGACTCTATTGCAGAGAGCGCAACTATGATGGGCAGGCCACGTTGTTCGAATGCAAAACATAGGCTTGCCAAAAAAATTATTTTATGGAGAACTCACACAGGGCAAGCGCTCATATGGTGGTCAGAAGAAGTGATACAAGGACACTCTCATGGGCTCTATAAGAACTTTGAAATTGATTGTGTGAGATGGGAGACACTGGCGTAGGATCACAGGACCGCCCAGCATGGCGTGCCCTCATCAGAGAAGGTGCTGTGCTCTATGAGCAAAGCAGAACTGAAGTAGCTCAAAAGAAATGTGAGATGCCCAGATTTAGAGAATCTACCCCAAATGTTCACATGGACTATTTGTGCCCCACCTGTGGTAGAATATTCTGAGCTCATATTGGACTGATCAGCCATAGTCTGACACACACATAGTGATATAATTTTGGTTGTATTTGAGAATGAAGGACAACAACCAATAGTAATGGTGATTAGTCAATCAATTAATAAACATTTATTAAGTTCCTATTATGTGCCAGGCACTGGGCTATGGACTGGGGATGCAAAAAAAGGCAAAAGACAGTCCCTGCCTTCTATGAGCTCATAATCTAATGAGAGAGAGACAGCACACAAACAATTACATACAAACTACATACAGGATAAATGGGAAATAATGAATAGAGGCAAAGGCATTAGAATGAAGACAGACTGGGAAAGGCTTCCAGTAAAAGATGAGATTTTTGTTGGCACTAAAAGAAGCCAGGGAGGTCTGTAGTCTGAGGGGAGAAGGGAGAGCATTCCAGGCATGGGGGACAACCAGAGAGAATGCCCAGGGCTGAGAGATGGAGGGTCTTGTTCATGGAACAGTCAGGAAATGAATGTCACTGGATCAAAGAGTTCTTGGGGAGGAGTAAGATGTAAGAAGATTGGAAAAGGAGTAGGGGACCAGGTTATGAAGGGCTTTGAATGACAAGCAAAGGATTTTGCATTTGATATCAAAAGTGACAGAGTTAGAGTTTATCGAGTAAAGGGGTGAAATAGACCTGTGAAAAATCACTTTAGTGGCTGAATAGAGAACGGACTGGAGTGGGAGAAACTGGGGTTGTACTTGAGGGATGTAATAAAAATTGAAACAACAGGGTTTGGCACCATATTCGATATGGGAGTTGAGAGATAATGGGAACTCCGAGAGGACACCTAGATTGAGAGCCTGAGGAGGGAGAATGGTGGTCCCCTTGACAGTAATATGAGGGAGGCTAAGGGAAATGAGAATGAGTTTAGTTTTGAGCATGTTGAGATGTCTACTGGACATCCAGTTTGAGATATCTGAAAGGCAGTTGGAGATTTGAGACTGGAGGTCAACAGAGAAGCAGGAAAGGTAGATTTGAGAATTCTCAGCATTAAATCCATGGGAGCTGGTGAGATCACCAGAGAAGTAGTATTTCAGTAGAAGAGAAGAGGGCTCAGGATAGAACCCTGAGGGACACCTAGGGTTAGTGATCTGGCTGAGGACTCAGCAAAGGAGACAGAGAAGGATCGCCAGAGAGATGGTGAGAGAACCAGGAGAGAGAGAGAGGTGTCTGGAAGACCTGGAGAGAAGAGAGCATGGAGGAGAAGAGGACGATCTCCAGTGCCCAAGGTTGTAGAGAGGTTAAGGAGAATGAGGATTGAGAAAAGGCCATTGGATTTGGCCACTGAGATCCTTAGTAACTTTGGAGAGGTCACTTTGGGCGGAATGAAAAGATCCGAAGGAGTGAAGAAGAGAGCTGGAAGAAAGCAAGTGGAGGCCTTTGCTAGGCATTTAGTCAGGAAGGGCAGAAGAGTCATAAGACGAGGAGCCAGACACTCCTCGAACTTGTGTCTGGTGCCTTCCTTCCATCGCCAGCTGGGGCCAGCTTGTTTTTGAGAGAACGGGGCAAGGAGCTTCGTCCGCTGCCCGACAGCAGCTCTCCCTGCCATCGTCTCCTAGCCAGCTTTCTCAGGTGAGAAGAGCGTCCCTCTAGCCTGCCATCTTCTATCTGTCCCAAACATCGCCTTCCACCTGTGCCTGCACAAGGCAACTTTCCCCCTCACCTGGGCCGCCTCTTGGACTCTTAATTTCTTCCTCCTTATAAATAAACTGCGTGATCTCGGCCAATCACCTCCTCTCTCTGAACCTGTTTCCTTATCCATTAAATGGAGATAACACTCGTTCTGCCTTCTTTCCTCAATCAGCCACCACGCATTCATTAAGCTATCAGTGGGAATAAAAGGACAAAAGAGAAACGATCCCTCCTCTCAGGGAGCTCACATTCTCCTGGGGTGACAGCGCGGAAGGGGGTTGGAGCCATCAGCCTCAGCCAGCCAGAAGGTCCTTGGCTAATGTGGGCTCTTTATCATGGTGTCTGGAGAGGCGCGTGGTACAGGAGGTGTGAGCCAGCCGAGGTCTTTGGGGATAAAGCCTGGGGGTAAAGACCTGCCCCTGACGCCGACACGCTCCGGGGCCCTGAGTAATGAAGTCACTGAGCTGCCCGTGCCCCCGACGGCTTGCGAACAAAGACTCGAAGACAAGCTGCTGATGGGCATCGCTGGAGGGAGGTAAGGAATCCTCAGTTTCCCACTGGGAAGAAACCAAAGTGCAAGGCCCGAGTAAAACCGGCACTTCCACTGCACTTTAAAGTGGGCAAATCCGCTTATAGACCCGCTCGCCCAGGACTCTCCCAACCCCAGGCGAGGGAGGCACCACAGCTATTATGTAGGATCACCCGTTTGCGTCGGGGCCTGCAGTGGATCTGAGGAAGGAATCGGGGATGTTCCTTTCGGAGAAGGGAAGGCTGGGGACTGCGGCTCGCGATAGCTGGGTTTGTTCGTTCTGTGGAATTAGGGAGATCAGGCTTGCCGGTTGGGCTCTAGGAAGAAGGAGCCGGGGCCACGAATGGGGGAAATTGCCAAGAGGCCGGTATTGGTTGACGTTGTCCCGAAGGGGTTACCTCAGAAAGACGGGGCGGGGGCAGTTCGCTTTCATTATCGGGTTCTTTTTCTGTTTCGGTTAAACTAGACTGCGCTTGAGGCTTCTTCCGACTTTCCATTCCTTCTACTCTGCGAAAACGCAGGCTCAGAGGGGTCAGGCGATTGAGCCCAGGACACACAGCGAGTGTCAGACAGGGGAACCTCTTGATTCCCAGTTAGGCACTCGAAGCCATGTTTGACGCGTATTTTCCTATTATCCTTCCCGGGGATCCTGGAGACCGAGGGTAGCCCCCTCACCCAGCGCGCCTCGCCCCGGTTCCCCGGGGCGGGATTTCTAACTCCAGTCCTGTCATGGAGACCGGAACCGTTCACCCTGAAGTCCCATCTTCTCCCTGGCTCCACTCCCTCGGTTGCATCCTGGAGCACCCCCCTGGCTCGCTTCCCTTGACTCCCCAGAGGCGCAGCGGCCGTCGGAGCGGGAGAGGCCCGTGGGGCCGAGGCGATGCCTGGCCAAGGAGGAAGGCGCAGGCGACACCTCGCTTCCATTGGCCGGCGTCCGCCTTTCACCTGGGGCACACCCAGCCCAGGCCTGCCCAGCCCCTCTGGCCCTGCCCTCGGGCCTCTCAGAGCAAAGTCCGCTGTCCTCGCCGCTGTCGCTGCGGGTCCGATAAGACGCGGCTGCCTGTGCCAGCTTCCTGACCCCAACGGGCGCACAGACGCCCGGACGCCCGGAACCCCGTGGGGCCCCCTCCCCGCCCAACCGCGCCCCCTGACCAGCCAAGATGCCGCTGGGACTTCGGGGCAAGAAGAAAGCCGGGCCCAAGGACGCGTCCAAGCTGATGGAGGGCGAGCGGGTCGCTCGGAGCACTGGGAGCGCCCGGCCCCTGCCCCTGGAGCTCCAGCCCAAGCCCAAGCCCAAGCTGGTGTTCCACACGCAGCTGGCACACGGCAGCGCCACGGGCACAGTGGAGGGCTTCTCTAGCATCCACGAGCTTTACGCCAAGATCGCCCAGGTGTTCGAGATCTCGCCCTCCGAGGTAAGGAAGGACACGGGGTCAGTGCCGGGTGCCGGGTGCCGGGTGCCTCGGCTGGCTGTCGCTTGCTGCCTGTCCTTCGATGCCCCGCAGATGGCCGCAGACCCCCTCCCCCGGCTCTGGAGGCAGGATCCCTGTGCCTCGAGGGCAGAGAGGGACCCACCTCAGACGCCATCCAGTAGGGCCCCCTCATTCCTCAGATTAGGAGACTGAGACCTGGAGACTTGAGACTTGCCTTCGCCTCCCAGGGAGTAAAGGACAGACCCTGGGACTCAAACCCACTTCCCTTTCTGGCTTCAAATCCCTCTTGAAGATTCCGACCACTTTGTCCTCGGGCAAATCATTTAGGCTTCCAGAGTCTCAATTTCCTTATCAGCCCAATGAGAAGGTCCGACTGGGAGGCCTGAGACGTTATCTTCAGCTTTAGAGCTACCCTCCTCGGCGGAGGGCAGGCGGAAAGAGGCCGTCGTGGCCATAGTCAAGGAGGGCAGGAGCCTGGGAGTCAGCAGAGACCAGAGTCCACAATCCATCTCTCAACATTTATTAATTCCTGAATCCAGGAGTCAAGTCGCTCAGCTTTCCTGGGCCTGACAGACCTCTTCCCTTCCCTGTGAAGCAGCTAATCACGCCGCCAGTAGACTCTTATGGAGGTGGAATGAATCCTACCGCGGCTCTCAGACTTTTTGGTCTCAGGACCCTCTCACTCTCATACAAACGACTGAGGCCCAAATGCCCCCTCCCCCGCTTTGGTTTATGGGTGGTCCATCTGTATTTACCATTTTAGACGTTCAGACCTCTTAGTGTTCCATGAAGATAGTTTTGATCTCAGTGACCCCCTGAAAGGGGCCCCTGGACCACACTTTTAAAGTAATAATGCATTAAAAGTGCTCTCTTAAGAGGCAGTGTGGGGCAGTGGCTAGAGCTGGTCTCGGAGTCAGGAAGCCCAGGGGTCAATCGGACTGAGACACACTAGACGAATTAATAAATAACCTGTCAGCAGCTCACACTCCAAGTCTACAAGGGAGTTTCTTCTCTGCATGCTGCAGGGGTTTCCACTCTGGAAATTCTGTTCCCTGAGAGTTTAAAAATCAATGCAAGGCACAGTGCACGAGGTTCTAGGGCCGGTAGAGAAAAGAGTAGGAATTTGCCTGGAGCAGGTTGGAAGACGGGAAACCCAGCTCCCGGGTCCCAGATGCGAGAGACAAGGATAAAAGCTGGAGGGTCTTGGAGGCTCTGGAAATGGTCCTTGTTCCCCGACGCCAATCCGAAGGTCCGAGTACTTGGCCGGAGAGTGAGGGGTCTGCCCTTTGGCTGTGAGCACCTGTGAGGGGGAGGGCAGTCAGGACCTCCTGGCCTAGGCTTCCACCTTCCGCTCAGATTCTTCCCGGAGGGACCAGAGGCCCTGCTTCGGCAGCACTTGGGGAGCCAGGTGAGGTGCCATCTCCCAGCAGAGCCAAACGAAGAGCAGCTTCCCTTTCCTCTCACCCTTGCTGTTTGCAGCATTACTCCCCCCAACCCCGCCCCCACCCCACAAGAAAAAAATGGGTCGCTGCGACCGTGAGACCAGTCTAAGCAGTTTAATTTACAGAGGGAAAGGACAGTGATGATAACGCCTGACCCAGAAGCATTGAGTACTGAGGAATCGCGCCGCCATCCTGGGCTGAAACGCTAATTCTAAGGCTAGCCTCACTACCCGAATGACCTTGGTTAAGTTCCTTCCCTTCCCTGTGCCTCGGGCTCCTCACGTGTCACTTGAAGGCCTGGAAGCTTCCTTCCAGTTCTAGAGTAAAGATCTCTGTCGGGCTTTGAGCCGTGCAGAAGGCTGTTGGTATGGCATCCGTGAGGCTCCAATGGATTTGTGATCTCATCCATATCGACCAACCAGTCAATCAACAAGCGTGCTGTTGTAAGTGCCTGATGTTTGCCAGGCACTATGTTAAGTGCTAGGGAAATAAAGACAAAACCAGAGACTGCTGTCAAGGAGCAGCGGGCATTGGAAGGGAGGAGACACATGTAAACAAATAGGTACATGCCGAAGACGAGGGGAAAGAAGGTAGTGTCAGAGGGAAAGGCTCAGTTGGCTGAGAGGAAGGGAGGAGAAGGCCGGTCCCTCCTTCTGTGATGACTCTTGACTGTGGCCTCCCATGATGGCTAGTCACTCTTGTCCCTTGTCTGTCACCTCCCAGAAAGTAGCCCCAGAAAGTCTACCCAATATGGCATCAGCCTTTGTCACTTTGTTTTGACATCTCTAAATTACCAGTGAAGCGCTCAAGCTGCCCACAGCAGGTAGGTAGCACAGGCATTATTTATTTCCATTTTACAGGTGAGGAAACTGAGGCTCAAATCAAGTCAAGAGACATTTATTAAGTGCCTACTATGTGCTAGGCACAGTGCTAAGCATCAGGAATACAAAGAATGGCAAAAAAAAAATAGTCCCTGCTCTCAAGGAGCTCACAGTCTAATTAGGGGAAGACATCATGGAAATATGATGTGGGGGTGATAGTCTTACTGGGAAGGTATAAGATTCAGAAGTAGTGGGGGTCTCAGAGAGCTGGTGACTTGTCCAAGTTCACACAGTCGATATCTGTGATTCGGCCCTGGGTTCTTTCAGTTCTTCTTCTTTGTCCTATCTATAGCTCCCTTTCTATATATTTGTTTGCATATTGTCTGGCCCATTCGATTGTAAGCTTCTTGAGGGCAGGGACTGTCATTTGCCTCTTTTTGTATCCTTAGTGGTTAGCAGGTGCTGGATTGATTGAATGAATCTGCTACACAAACTACTATTCAAAGGATAGTCAGCAGCACTGGCATAGGGTTGGCATCTGCCATAGACAAACTATGCCTGGAGAAAAAGAGGTTGACTTTCTCAGCTGATGGTTTGGTTAATTGGGTTTGTAGAATGGACGTTTAGACACTGAAGCATTCAGCTTTGGCCCGGCACCCAGTAGGCACCAATAGAGGGACTGTGAGATCTGTTTTTGCTGCCTGTTTGTTTGGGGTGACAGGCAAGGGCGGGAGAAGGTGTCAAGCACTTTTTCTTGGTGTGAGCCAGGGGGGACCTTATCTTCTCCTCAGTCCTAGAAACAGTCCAAAGGCCAGGTGGCCTTGAACCAGTGGGAAGGCACCACCAGGGCTTTGAGCTGACCCCAGGGGCATAGCCCTCCATCTCTCCTTTCCTATTGTTTCTGCATTTTTGCTGAGGAAAAAGTGAGGTCAAGGCAACGTTCCGACAAAGAACATGAAAGGGAACTTTCAGTGTAACATTTCAGAGCTCCTCAGGGCCTGCAGAAGTGCCCAGCAGCAGACAGAAGTCCAGAAAACCAGTTATTTTATGATAGTGAGGGAGAGAAATGAGGAAAGTCACACGCAAGAGCAATTTCTGAATGAGAGCCTATAAACTGTGACCTGGGTTCAAATTCCACCTTTGATACTGACCAGTTGTGTGACCATAGGCAAGCCATTTAATGTCTGTTTGCCTCAGTTTCCTCATCTGTTAAGTGAGGAGGTTGGATTGGCTCTGAGGTCCCTTCCAGCTCTCTGATCCTTTGATCTATAACATGGAGAAGGGGGAAGAGAGTTGGCCTGGAAGACAGGGGTTCAGGTCTCCCCTCTCACCCACTGGCTGAGAGACCAGGAAGTCCTTTAGCCTCTAGAATATCAGTTACAGAACAGTGGCGGATGTACGGACTGTCTTTCCTCAGTGAAAATTCCACATGCCAAAAGTCTAAAAAGCCACACAAAACAAATAACCCAACTTTTAGGTACCCAGCTGATCAGATGGGTCAGTTGGTCTGGCTGAGGTTTTGGGGGACATCCCTTCCAGCCTCCTGGGACAGAGGAAGGGTGCTGACCTTGGAATTACAGGACCTGAGTTTGAATCCTAGCCCTGTCCCTTTTGACCTGCCTGACCTTGGGCAAATCATTTCATGTCTCTAGACTCCACTTTCCTCAACTTTAAAATGAAAGGATTAAGCCAGATGACCCCTGAGTCTTCCAAGTCTAGGACCTGTGGCCTAGTACTCTTGAAAGAGAGGAGACTTCATAGGACGTGGCCTAATGGATAGAGCCCTGAACTGGGCATTAGAAGGACCTGAGTGGTAGTTTTTGAGTGCAAACCTGGGTAAATTTCTTCAACTCTCTGAGCCTCAATTTGCTCATTTGTAGAATGGGGATAATAACATCTACCTATCTTACTTGATTCCTAAATATAAGTTGTTATCATTTTGTTCTTTGACTAGAGGAGGGCTGAATGGATCAAATAGGTTATTTCTGTGGGCAGCATTGGAGTTCAGGGATACTTTTTTTTATAGGTGTGCACATTTCTCACACCAAGTTCTAGCCCAAGGCGTTAATGCCTCTCAATGGTGTCTCAGGTCTAAACAAACAAACAAGCAAAAAAAGATTAAAAAATCCCCAAGCCTCACAAACTAGATGAAAGGCATCATTAGGTTAGTTTATTGTTCATTCCATCGCGAGGAACTCAGTTGATCATTTAGAAAGAAAAGTAACTTATTAAAAGAGAAGTGTCTGGCAGCACACTCCCTTCCCGTCCCACTCCCCCAGAAAGGACAGTGGCACTCTGGGCTTTTGAGCAGTCATCTGGGTCACCAGAGCCAGAAGTGTTGGGAAGAGAAAGGCCTGGCCTTGCTCTGGGCCCCGGCCAGTGAGGATGTGAATAGCTTTGTCTGAAGAATCCTGTGAAAATGAATCTTGTCTAGAGAACGGGGGAAATGAAAACCCCAGGTTCCATCTTTTCTTATATAAAATGTCCAGCACTGTCCTGGAAGATGTGGAGAAGGTGTTCATTAAATTCCCATTCAATGTTTGTCCTGGAACTGGTCACATAAAGCTTGCTTGCTGATTTTAAAAGGAAACTCCACATGGACAGGCATTGCTGCACAGACCCACTTAAAATGGACACACATTTCACAGAGGATATTTCTTTTTACCCTAATTTTTGATTCATTGTTTGAAATGTTAAGGCTCAGTGATGGGGAGGATTC